TATCAACAGAGTTGGTGCATCATCAAGGTACAGATCAAAGATGTAAAATGTTTGTTGTTATGAAGAAAGGGCAGGAACTCAATGAACAATTAAAACCAGATGCAGATAAACAATGTAAAAACAATTCAATTCATTATTACAAAGTAGAATGCAAAGCTTTGGAACAAAATGCTACCAATTTACAAGACTGTGACAAATTTTTCACCTATCAAGATATACATGAATCTGAAGTTCAAAGAACTGCAAGTTATTACACAGATATAAAATGCACACATGTCAGCGTGTCATCCATATGCTTGTTATATGTAAAATTAATTATTCAAAACTAAATATATTCAAGGATATGTCGGTCAGTACTTCATCATATGATACAATAGACCTGCCTTCCAACCCATGGACTGTTGCTAAAGTTGACAATAACAAAGCTGCTGTCACATTTCCTCAACTAGGAATAGTAAGACTGATAACATTCTCTAAGTCTATGACAGTGACCAACACTGAAGATATAAAAGTAGGAAGTTGTTGTTGTGGTGTTGCCTATAGTAACAACAAGCTTATAGTGTCTTACATGAAGTTGCCAGCAACAGTGAAGATACTTGACATGTCTGGTAAAGTAATAAAAACAATTGATATAGATCAGCATGGGAAATGTCTATTTGCTAATCCTTATAGCTTAACAGTCAGTGCAGACCGCACAGTTATATATGTATCTGACTTGGGGAAAAACTGTGTGATAGGTTTAACCTTTGACGGGAATGTCAAGGCCATTTACAAGGATGACCAGCTGGAAAGACCATATCAACTGACAGTAGATAGGTCTGGGGCAGTGTTTGTATGTGGTGGTTCTTCACAAAATATACATCAATTATCACCTGACCTGACCAAGGTGAAGATTCTACTGGATGAGGAACGAGGAATAATTGAACCATCAGGTGTGGCATACTGCCAGAATACAAACAGATTGTATGTGAGTCAAAGTTATGATAACATTAAAGTGTATGATTTATCACTGGAATAAACTATTTCTATCTGAATAGCCTGCAGAAAATACTTGACCAAAGTTACAACTATTTCCTATTTCAATATAAAATTTTTACTCCATGTTATTCTAATGCAGCTGTAAATGATCAAACTAACTCAGACTTCATGCAATTACTTCAAGAAACAAGCATTTGATAGTATTGCGGGCAATACAGTAGTCCCCTACCGGTCCCTCAAAAAGTTCTTTAATTGTCATACACTCCTGTGTATTGCCATTTATAATGAATTTGAGGATGAAGTCTGTATTTGAAAATATCAACCACAAAACATAATAAAATAAGTTTGTCTATATCACAGTAATGTGTTAAGTTTCCATGCTTAGTAAGGAAATTATGTTTATACAACCTTGTCATATTATTACGATGTGGGGTTTTAAAGTAAATCCTATAAGGAATGAAGAAGTTGGAGTGAAAATACCAGTTTCTCGAAAAAAATCTAAGTTCAAGGGGGACATAATTCTGGAAATAGTCTTGCTAGAGTATTTAACCTTCTCAAAAATGTCGAGTGATAACAAGAAACATATATATGAAGTTTAAAGTAGATACATTAGGAAATAAAGAAGTTATTTAAAAAAGACAACATTTTTTCCCCTAAAAAATCTAAGTTCAAGGGAGGTAATACTGATATTTTTTGTGCTAGAGTTATAAACCTTGTCACATATGATGTGGTTGATGACCAGAAACTTATATTTAAAGTTTGAAGTAAACACCTTAAGAACATATAGTGAAAAAGATGAAAAATTTAAATCAGAAATCTTGAAATTCAGGCTATTTGTTGCCATAGCAACCAGAATTTTCAACATAGGAAGAAAAGAAAAAGATGTGCATTATCTCCAGACTGCCATCTACCCATATTTCAAGTTTCATAAAAATATCTTCAGTACTTTTTGAGTTATCACTGGATCCAGTTTATGTGTTAAATTTGCCATATTTTCAGACTATTTGTTGCCATAGCAACCAGAATTTTCAACATAGGAAGAAAAAAAAAAGACGTGCATAATCTCCATACTGCCATCTATCCATATATCAAGTTTCATAAAAATATTTTCAGTACTTTTTGCGTTATCGCGGGATCCAGTTTTGTGGACGGACGGACTGACGGACTGACAGACAGACAGACAGACAGACGGACAGACAGACAGACGGACGGAGGGTAAACCTAAAGTCCCCTCCGGTTAAACCGGTAGGGGACTAATAAAGTGTATGATTTATCACTGGAATAAAACTATTTCTATGTGAATGGCCTGCAGAAAAGATTTGAAAAATATTATACAGTCTACTCCACTTATAACGAGATCGATTTTAATGCGGTACCGTTTATAACGTACATTCTACTGTGTCCTGGCCTTTTTCCTTCTATTTTCCTTTCATTTTATATTGTTTATAACGAGATCGGTTTTAGCGAGATATCGGTTACAACGTACATATATTCGCCTTCCCATGCGTAATTATCAGAATTTTAATGAGGTCACATCATTGGCACTTCGTCTGCATCAGTTTGACACCTTCAGAAAAACAATGGTGACCATAAACAAAGGTCAACTGAGGTAGAAATTATTGAGCAATTAGCATCAAATGTGTCAGTCTTGTTTTGTCAGCGCTCCGGGCTAAATTGTCCTTTAAGTGATGAAATGTTATAACAAAACAATTTCATTGAGTGATAAGCTTGCACAAAGGAAGTGGCTAATTTCTTGCAGTGTATTTCAGTGCTCGTGAGAAATAAACTGCATGACTTTTGAAAAAAAAAGAAATTTAAAATGTACATATTAATAAAAACACACGCGGTTTGACATTGTATGGGTTTTCATAATTTTTGTTTAAATTCTATGATAGCTAAAAATATTTATTTACCTGTATGTATATTTTAAAAAAAACAACTATCGAGTGCAAAGAGTTACCACCCCCACCCCCCGTCCATTATGAACTCTTCAAAAAAGAGTTACGCGAATGCGGAAGTAGAAATAAATGATGTTCGATGGTGTCCGATCTCTCAATTTGTTCTAGCTGTCCCGGTTATAACGACAACCGGTAATAAAGAGGAATCATGCGAAGTCCCGACGATCTCGTTATATCAGGAGTGCACTGTATATAAAATTTCATTCCATTGAATTGCAAAAGGATTATAATGATGAATTTTTAAAATAAAAAATGTTTTGTATTTATAATATTGTGTATTTATCATTAGCCAATAACTGGTTAGAAAATTTAATAACTGGTAGCCAGGGTAGTAAACAACTAAAGAAATTTTAATTAAAAAAAAATACAATGTTTGTTTCTTCATGACAAGATATTACATTTTGTTTGTATTTTATTTGAATTTTTTTCAGACTGCACAGCTAATATATAATGAAATGGACAATAGTCATTCCATAATTGGATATGTTTTGTAATCATTGTTAAGTAAAACAAAATACAAACAAAATGTGATATCTTAGAATCTAAGAAATCTTTTATAATGATCGGATAAACATTAAACACGGTTATCAAGTCACCGTTTATACAATTAACATTTTGGCCAACCGTAACATACCTTGTTTTGTGTCATAATGCCTTTATGTTTGAGAAATATGAGAACAATTTAGTCTACACGTCTTAAACTTTTGGTACACTATAATTAAATAAATGATTCTTTGTACTTTATAATTTTAATCTATAATTCTTTTATTTTTTTCTCTATAATTTATGTAGTGTTATTTTCCTGCACATTTGTGAAACCTCAATGTAAGCTACAAACTTCATTTTTGTCACTATATGTTTAAATGAATAAAATTGTACCTACTGTAACCCTATATACATTTATTACTATCAGATCAGATTTGTTTTGTAAATAAAGGTAAATGATATCATTCTGTGTGTATTGTTTTCATCTCTACATTTTGATTTCTAAATCAATTACTGCAATATTTATTACTAAGATTAAATCTAAAATCAAATTGATTTTGAGAATCGAGAATGGACTATTTAATGTTTTAGAAATTAAAATAAAATGCTGTTAGCTTCAAAGATTTTTGCTATAACTAATATCAAAATTTGACGATTACTATTGATAATGTATTTTTTGTTAATTAAATATAAGTTTTCAAAGAATTTTTTAGTATAGGAATTATAAACAGAATTACTCTAAAATAAAATTTCAAAAGTTTGCAAATAAGGTGCTATAAACAAGGGCAAGCAATATCTGTAGGTGAATTTCTGTAGGTGCTCAAGACCCAGCATTGTGGTGTGGTGGTTTCTTACAGCCCTAGCAGCTTTGCACATATACAAAATGTACACTATTCATTGTATGAGATCTGCTTTTTTTCATAAGAAGTGTAGTCAAACACAAAAATATCTTCATATTAACGTAACATAAATGATTTAACTAATTCAACATATATGGTATACTTTGAACAAATGAAAATTTTGAACCTTGTTTAAACCTTTTTAAAACATATAAATTTCATTATGTACTCTTTAACATGTTGACATGTGTTATAGTTCCAAAGTTCCTTAAAATCTATTTTTAGTAATTTTTGTTACTATTTTTAACTGTCATGTGACAAACCATCCTCCACAATACTCATTTATAAACCATAATGAAGTACCATAAAGGTTTGAAACTGGTATATTAAATATTTTTTTCTCAAATTATTCTATTAATGTGTTTGTTTTTTTCTTTTCTTCCTTTTCATTTGTTTGTAGAATGATGATCTTTTCAAGACATGTAAAAACTTATATTATGAATGGAAAATACTGTCAAACCAGAACATGAAACTATTTAAGCAATATCTATTGAGGTCCATCCAAGGACAATTTAATACTGTATTGTTTCATCAGTATTGGTTAAGTGATCTGAAAAATGTTGTTTAAGTAAATATGAGAACACAGGCACTTAAGATACTAGATAAAGGGTGATCACAATAGCATACCTTAAGCATGTTGTGATCTGGTGAGCAAAAAAAAATGTTCATTGACATAATGATGTTCAATCTTTCTCCTTAAGTAAAATAGTTATTCATGTAGCATTAACCTGGCAACGTTATGACGTAGCTTATCTTATCAACTGCTTTTTTTAAATCCTCTTTCAATACCCCACTTGAAAAGCAAATAATCTATCAGTGGGTAGGTTTATACTTCCTGTTTTTCAACAATTTTAAACACAACTTAAGGATAGAAAGTTCTGTGTTGTAAATTTTAAGTTTGAAACAAAAATAATCATGGCACAATCCAGGATAGACTTCAGTGCTTCATCTACAGATGACTCTGATGAAGTTCAGGAAATGTTTTGTGAACATTGTGATAAACATGACAAGCAATATGTTCCTGCTGAAGGATTTTGTGAGGAATGTTTTGAGTACTTGTGTGCTATATGTGTAAAATTTCATAAAAGATATATGGTCTCCCATACCATCAAGGATAAGGATAACATGCCACAGGATTTCTGTCTAGAGAAATGTTCTGTTCATCAAGATGAATTGGTCAAGTTCTACTGCCAAGCTTGCAAGAAATTTGCCTGTACTGAATGCAAGACTCAGGACCATGGGACCTGTAGTATAGTCAGTCATTTGCCAGCCCTTGTTCCAGGGATTGAAAACAGCCAGGAAATTAAAGAACTCACTGAAAATCTTGATATGTTAATGAAGGATTTGGAAAATACAGAAAAACATGTAAACATAAACATGACATATGTCGCTTCACAAGAAACAAAGATATTAGATACAGTTATGGAAAAAAAGAAAGAAATATTGTCAGTGTTTGAAAAACATCAGACAGATATAATTCAAAACTTTGAGAAAAAAATTAAAGAAACCTTACAAAAACTTGAAGAAGAGAAAAAAAAGAAAATTGACAAATTACAAGAGAATCAAAGGAAATTAGAAAAGTTATTAAATGAAGAGGAAAATGAAATAAAGAAGAAAATTGAAATCATAAAAATGAATGACAACAAAAATTTGCAGACAATCACTGAAGAAACCTCAAAAATGAAAACAAAACTAAACAGCATATCAACAGAGTTGGTGCATCATCAAGGTACAGATCAAAGATGTCAAATGTTTGTTGTTATGAAGAAGGGGCAGAAAATCATTGATCAATTGAAGCCAGATGCAGATAAACAATGTAAAAACAATTCAATTCATTATTACAAAGTTGAATGCAAAGCTTCTGAACAGATTATTACCAATTTACAAGACTGTGACAAAATTTTTACCTATCAAGAAATACATGAATCTGAAGTACAAAGAACTGCTAGTTATTACACAGATATTAAATTCAAATGTCACTCCTGGTCATTTTTATGCTTGTTAACAGAAAACTGTCTTTTTATAAGTAACCCTGAATCTTCAAAGCTGATTATTTTCAAGGATTTGTCAGTCAGCACTTCATCATATGATACAATAGACCTGCCTTCGTACCCTTGGGCTGTTGCTAAAGTTGACAATAACAAAGTTGCTGTCACATTTCCTAGACTTGGAACAGTAAAACTGATAACATTCTCTAAGTGTATGACAGTGACCAACACTGAAGATATAGAAGTAGGAGGAGGTTGCCGTGGTGTTGCCTATAGTAACAACAAGCTTATAGTGTCTTACCTAAAGTTTCCAGCAACAGTGAAGATACTTGACATGTCTGGTAAAGTAATAAAAACAATTGATAAAGATCAGCATGGGACATGTCTATTTGCTAATCCTTATAACTTAACAATCAGTGCAGACAACACAGTTATATATGTATCTGACTATATGAAAAACTGTGTGTTAGGTTTAACTTTTGATGGGAAAGTCAAGGCCATTTACAATGATGACAAGCTGAATTGGCTTTATCAACTGACAGTAGATAGGTCTGGGGCAGTGTTTGTATGTGGACGTTTGTCACACAATATACATCAATTATCATCTGACCTGACCAAGGTGAAGATACTGCTGGATAAAAAACAAGGAATATATAGTCCAACAGGTGTGGCATACTGCCAGAATACAAACAGATTATATGTGAGTCAACAAGATGATAACATTAAAGTGTATGATTTATCACTGCTATAAAACTATTTCTATCTGAAAAGCCTGCAGGAAATACTTGAAAAATATTATATATAGAATTTCATTCCATATTTCTTTGAATTGCAAAAGGATTATAATGATGAATTTTAAAATAAAAGATGTACATGTATGTATTATATTTGTGTCTTTCTTGTAGTGGTGTCATATTTATCTGTTTATATAGGTTTGATCGTTAGCCAATAACTGGTTAGAAAATTCAATAACTGGTAACCAGGCTCGTATTAGGCGAACAACTGAAGAAATTTCAATTCCAAAAAAATACATTTGTTCTTCATGACAAGATATGACATTTTGTTTGTATTTTATTTGTATTTTTCTGACTGCACAGCTGTCTTATAGTGAAATAGACAATAGTTATTCCATTATTGGATATGTTTTGTAACCATTGTTGAGTACAACAAAATACAAATTTCAAAGTGTTATTTTTTAGTATTGAAATTATACAAATAATTACTAATAATAAAATTTTAAAAGTTTGCAAATAAGGTGCTATAAACAAGGCCAACCAATATCTGTATCCCAATTTCTCTAGGTGCTCATGACCCAGCATTTAGTGTGTGGTGGTTTCTCACAGCTCTAGCAACTTTGCACATGTAAAATATTCATTGTATGTGATCTGCTTTATTTCATAATCATAAGAAGTGTAGTCAAACACAAAAATATCTTCATATTACATAACCTAAATGATTTAAAATAATTTTCTTTGCAACAAGCTTATTAGCTAATGTTTCTTGTAATATGTAAACCGACTTAAAATAAAGTTTCTTGTATCTTGTATCTTGTATCTTGTATTTAACTAATTCAACATATATTGTATACTTTAAACAAATGACAATTTAAAACATATAAATTTCATTATGTACTTTTATGTTGACATGTGGTATAGTTCCAAAAGTTTCTTTGCAACAAGCTATCATTATCTATTTTTAGTAATTTTTGTTACTATTTTTAACTGTCATGTGACATACCATCCTCCACAATTATAAACCATTATGAAGTATCATAAAGGTTGAAAATTGGTAAATTAAAAGAAATTCTATTGTATTGATGTGTTTGTTTTTTATTCCTTTTCCTTAGTTTGTAGAATGATGATTTTTTCAAGACTTGTATAAACATTAATTATGAATGGAAAATGCTGTATAGTGTCATCACTATTGGCTTAATGATCTGAAAGATGTTGTTTAAGTAAATATGAGAATGGACACTTAAGATACTAGATAAAGGGTGATCACAAAAGCACACCTTATGCATGTGGTGATCTGGTGAGCAAAAAAAATGTTGCTTGACATAATTACATTCAATCTTTCTCCTTATGTAAAATAGTTATTCATGTAGTAATAACCTGGCAACATTATGAACTAGTGTATCTTATCAACTGCTTTTTTATAAATCATATGTCAATACCACATACGTCTTGAAAAGCAAAAAATCTATTAGTGGGTATGCTTACACTGCCCCTTTTTGGATAGAAGGATAGAAAGTTCTGCATTGGAAAATTAAGCTTAAAATGAAACCACAATCCTGGATAGACTTCAGTGTTTCATTTACAGAGGACTCTAATTAAGTTCAGGAAATGTTCTGTGAACATTGTGATAAACATGACAAGCAATATGTTCCTGCTGAGGGATTTTGTGAGGAATGTTTCCTGTGCTTGTGTGGAACATGTCTGAAGTTTCACATACTTTCAAACTATCAAAAATAAGGATAACATGCCACAGGATTTCTGTCTAGAAAAATATTCTATTCATCAATATGAATTAGTCGAGTTCTATTGTCAAGCATTGCAAAATTTTTATTGAATCTTGACTTATTCATAGTCTACATAGTCCATCTTGATTCAATTATAATCTATCTTCACTTACTCAAAGTCTTTTTTTAATTCATTTATCATATATCTTCAGACTTATTCATGGTTTATCTTGATTTATTCATAATCTATCTTGAATATTGACTTATTCATGGTCTATCTTGACTTTATAAATTTGTAGTCTATCTTCATATTCATAATCTATCTTGACTTATTCATTGTCTTTCTTGATTTATTCATAATCTATCTGGACTTATTCATAGTCTATTTTCATTTATTCATAGTCTATCTTGACTTATTCATTCATGCTCTATCTTATTCATGGTCTATAATATTATTGACTTATTTATAGTCTTTTTTTAATTCATTTATCATCTATCTTGACTAATTCATAATTTATCTTGATTTATTTATAATCTTTCTTGACTTATTCATAGTCTATCTTGACTTATTCATAGTTAAAATATCCTAATTTATTCAAAGACTATCTTGATTTACTCATAATCTGTCTTGACTTATTCATAGTCTATTTTGATTTATTCATAGAATATCTTGACTTATTCATGTTCTTTCTTATTCATGGTCTATATTGACTTAATTGTAGTCTTCATTTGTCCATAATCTATCTTGACTAATTCATAGTCTATCATCATATTTTCATAGTTATCTTGACTTATTTATAGTCTATCTGAACTTATTCATAGTTTATCTTGATTTATTCATAATCTACCTTGACTTTTTCATAGTCTATCTTGACTTATCTATAATCCATCTTCACTTATTCATAGTCTTTCTAAATTGATTTATCATCTATCTTGGCTTATTTAAAGTATATCTCAACTTATTCATTCTTGATTCATTAAAAATCTATCTTGACTTATTCATAATCTAACTTGAATTCTTCATAATCTATCTTGACTTATTCATAATCTTCCTTGACTTATTCATACTCTCTCTTGATTTATTCATAATTTATCAGGACTTATTCATAATCATTAACAATCATACATAACCTCATAAAAACACAGTAGATGTAGTGTACAACATTATAACCTAATTACCCATTTTAGCTGAAACAAGGGCAACATTGTCGCAAAATACACCCGTCACAAAAGATTTTAAAGGAGACGTGGGCATAATAGATATGCATATAGGAGATATGCTCTGGGCAATATACGGAAAATATCTGGATATTTTAATCATCTCTAGTGACCTTGAACTTGCAAATGTTAACCTAAATTACATGTGTCACACTTGTAGTCATGATAGTTATCATTTGTGTTACAATCCATCAATAAATGATGACTAAATGGTCCCCATACACAAACTTTGACCTCTCTATGTGACATTGACTTTGGTAGCAGGTACCTGGATTATGTGCGCAATAAGCCTCACAATGGTGAACATTTGTGCCAAGTTACATTAAAATCCCCAGATGAATGTTGAAGTTCAGTTCTGAACAAGCAATTTTCAATTACCACTTTCAAAATACCTTAACCTTTAACCTAGAGACCTGGTTCATGCACTTGTCATTGCTTCTCATAGTGGTGAACATTTCTATGAAGTTTCATTAGAATCCCTCCATGCTTGGAGATATGCTCTACACAAAATTTCTAAATTTTATCATCTTTAGTGACCTTGACCTTGCACGTATTAACCTATATTACATGTTTCACACCAGTAGTTATGATAATGACCATTTGTGTTTCAATCCCTCAATGATGATTACTAAATGGTCCGAATAAACATTTTCATATTTTTATCCAAACTTTGACCCCTGTGACCTTGACCTTGTCAGCAGGGACCTTAATTTTGCATGCAACACTTTGCCTCACAATCATGAACATTTGTGCCACGTTATATTGCAATCCCTCTATGCATATAGAAGTTTTGCTCTGAACAAGTGTTTTTCAATGACCTCTATATGTGACCTTGACCTTTGGCCTAGAAACCTTATTTATTTGCGCAACACAGCTTCTCATAGTGGTGACCATTTGTATGAAGTTTCATTAAAATTACTCCATAAGTGTAGGAGATATGCTTCGGACAAAGTGGACACTGCCCAGCCGGCAGACCGCCAGGGGGGAAACTATAATACGACCCCCCTTTTTCATACGGGCGTAAATACACAAATTTCAAAATATTACAAAAACATGATAATGATGTTTTTTATATACAGTAAAAACCCACTTTGTGACCACCCCAATTTCAAAACTAACCCGCTAATAAGAACAATTTTTTTCAGACCTGATTTTTTCCTTCTTTATTTCAATGGTTGCCAGCCTCGATTTTGAGACCACCCCGTTATTCTATAACACGTTCAGTTAATTCAGTCCTGTTTGTTAATCGTGTACATTTGTTAACCCCTAAATAGGACCACAGGCACCCTCTCACCCTGATATTGATGTGCATGTATATTTTTGAAATCCTTTTGGCATGTGATGTAAACAACAGTTGTCCCAGTTTTAAGACATTTTACAACATCCACTTTATGGTAGAGGTGAAGGTTATAAGTTAGTTTATATAAAACCCATAAATGATGTATAATTGCTAATTATTTCTAAATTTCACACCTTGAATTTTATGATTGTCGAATAAGAAAGATAAAATAGTAATCAGAACTTTAGAAAGTATTTTAAGAGGTGTTGCAGCTCTCATTATCTATTTCCTCGGTATTTTGAATGAAACACAAACATGCTTTAAGTTGTAATCGACAATGAAAAACAATCATAGATTAAATTGTTTTGTGTGTTTTGTTGTATCACTGCGCTTTTCAAAATTGTTTGATTAAGTTGTGTTCTCATTCCTTGATTTTTAATGTCAAAATAAATAAAATAATAATAATAAAAGTGTGTATTATAAGATATTATTCTCTCGTTAGAGAGAAACTTTATAATAAAAAAAAAGAAAGAAAAAAAAAAGAAAACAGTCCAGAAAAATACTTTAGTAATGTGTAGAAAATGCTGTAAACATTCTGCCTGTTTTCCTGTCTGACCAAACTCATTAATGAGACCAACCCGCTATTAAGACCAAATATGGGAAGTCCCTTCAGTGCTCTCATTAGTAAGTTTTGACTGTAAATGTTTTTTGCAAGAAAAATGAGTCAAAACAAATTAAAACATATTGCAAAGTTAAATCAGTTTTTTAATATTTTCACAGGCATTTATAATCTCATGCCTTAGAAGTTGTTTATAGTAACAATTGCTATTTATAAATCTATTGTCAATAACATGAAAAGGCTAATAGATACCAGTAAACTTTACACGCATTTTAAACAAGAATAATAAATCTGTCAAAGATTTAAACTTCTTCATTTGAACAACTTTAAACAAAACTGTGTGATAGACAGTCTTCAAAGTTAATTCATGTTTTAGATAAAAAAGATCATGGCACATTCAAGGATAGACTTCAGTGCTTCATTTACACAGGATTCTGGTGAAGTTAAAGAAATGTTCTGTGAGCTTTGTGATAAACACAACAAAAAATATGTTCCTGCTGAAAAATTTTGTGAAGAGTGTTTCGAGTACTTGTGTGGGACTTGTCTAAACTACCATAACATATACATAAAATCCCATACCATAAAAGATAAGGATAACATGCCACAGGATTTCTGTCTGGAGAAATGTTCTGTTCATAAAGATGAATTGGTCAAGTTCTATTGTCAAGCTTGTAAGAAATTTGCCTGTCCTGAATGCAAGACTCAAGACCATGGGAACTGTAATATGGTCAGTCATTTGCCAGCTCTTGTTCAAGGGATTGAAAAAGGTCAAGAAATTAAAGAACACAATGAAAACCTTGATACGTTGATGAAGGATTTGGAAAATACAGAAAAAGATGTGAACATAAACATGAAATATGTCGCTTCACAAGAAACAAAGATTTTAAATTCAGTCATGAAAAAAAAGAAAGAAATATTGTCCGTGTTTGACAAACATCAGACGGATGTAATTCAAAACTTTGAGAAAAAAATTGAAGAAACCTTACAAAGACTTGAAGAAGAGAAAAAGGAGAAAATCAACAAATTACAAGAAAATCAAAGGAAATTAAGAAAGTTATTAAGTGATGAGGAAAATGAAATTAAGAGGAAAATTGAAATCATAAAAAAGAAAGACAAGAAAGTTTTGCAGACAATCATTAAAGAAACCTCAAAAATGAAAATAAAACTAAACAGCATATCAACAGAGTTGGTGCATCATCAAGGTACAGATCAAAGATGTAAAATGTTTGTTGCTATGAAGAAGGGGCAAGAAATCACTGAACAATTGAAACCAGCTGTTGATAAACAATGTAAAAACAATTCAATTCATTATTACAAAGTTGAATGCAAAGCTTCTGAACAAAATATAACCAATTTACAAGACTGTGACAAAAATTTTCACCTATCAAGAAATACATGAGTCTGAAGTACCAAGAACTGCTAGTTATTACACAAATAAAAAATTCAGATGTGACTCCTGGTCATCTCTATGCTTGTTATCAGACAACTCTCTTCTTATATGTAACCTTGAATCTTCAAAGCTAACTAGAGGATGCTTTTGTAAAAAAGCGCATGTCTCCCCCACTGCTGAGAATAACTGTGAATGGAAACAGGAATGGAAATGGAGATAAGATAATGTAAATACCCGGTAGTCACTTCAATGAAGGCTGTCTATGGATGGTTTCTATTGTTAAGGTTGTATGAGAAGATGCTTCCTAAACTGTTTGTTTTTAACCAGGTATTCAATTTTGAATATGTCTCCCCCCAGTTTGAGGGTTGTAGGTCAAAAGGAACTCTAGTTATCATCCGGAAATGAGAAATTGACCAACGGTCACTGTGACCTTGACCTTTGACCTACTGACCCCAAAAACAATAGGGATCATCTGCTCTATAAGACCAATCATCCTATGAAGTTTGAGGGCTGTAGGTCAAAAGGAACTCTAGTTATCATCCGGAAACGAGAAATTGACCAACGGTCACTGTGACCTTGACCTTTGAACTACTGACCCCAAAAACAATAGGGATCATCTGCTCAATAAGACCAATCATCCTATGAAGTTTGAGGTCTGTAGTCTAAAGGAACTCTAGTTATCATCCGGAAACGAGAAATTGACCAACGGTCAGTGTGACCTTGACCTTTGACCTACTGACCCCAAAAACAATAGGGATCATCAGCTCTATAAGACCAATCATCCTATGAAGTTTGAGGGCTGTAGGTCAAAAGGAACTCTAGTTATTCATCCGGAAACGAGAAATTGACCAACGGTCACTGTGACCTTGACCTTTGAACTACTGACCCCAAAAACAATAGGGATCATCTGCTCAATAAGACCATTCATCCTATGAAGTTTGAGAGCTGTAGGTCAAAAGGAACTCTAGTTATCGTCCGGAAACGAAGAATGGACGGACGGACTGACGGACGGACTGACGGACGGACGGACGGACTGACGGACGGACAGGGCAAAAACAATATGTCTCCCCCCGAGGTGGGGGAGACATAATTATAATCAAGGATATGTCGGTCAGCACTACATCATATACGTTAGACCTGCCTTCCAACCCAGGGGCTGTTGCTAAAGTTGACAATAACAAAGCTGCTGTAACATTTCCTGAACTTGGAATAGTAAGACTGAAAACATTCTCTAAGTGTATGACAGTGACCAACACTGAAGATACAGGAGTAGGCAAATATTGTCATGGTGTTGCCTATAGTAACAACAAGCTTATAGTATCTTACACATACAGCCCAGCAACAGTGAAGATACTTGACATGACTGGTAAAGTATTGAAAACATTTCATAAAGATCAGCAAGGGAGATGTCTGTTTGTTGATCCTTATAACTTAACAATCAGTGCAGACAACACAGTTATATATGTATCTGACTTTGAAAAAAACTGTGTGATAGGTTTAACCTTTGATGGGAGAGTTAAGGCTATTAATAAGGATGATCAGCTGAAAAGTCCATGTCAACTGACTGTTGATACGTCTGGAGCAGTGTTTGTATGTGGACATTCATCAGACAATATACATCAGTTATCACCTGACCTGACCAAGGTGAAGATTCTAATGGGTAAAGAACAAGGAATAAATGGACCAGTAGGTGTGGCATACTGCCAGAATAAAAACAGATTGTATGTGAGTCATCTTGGTAACATTAAAGTGTTTGATTTATCACTGGAATAAAACTTTTTTTATCTGAATAGCCTGCAGAAAGGACTTGAAAAATACTATATATAGAATTTCATTCCATATTTCTTTAAATTGCAAAAGGATTATTATGACGAATTTTTAAAATGAAAAATGTTTTGTATTACACTTGTATGTTTCTTATAGTGGTGTCATGTTTATCTGTTTATATAGGTTTGATTGTTAGCCAATAACTGGTTACCAGGCTAGAATTAGGCTGAAAAAATTTTAATTTTGAAAAAATACATTTTGTTTCTTTATGACAAGATATTATATTTTGTTTGTATTTTATTTGTTTTTTTCTCTGACTGCACAGCTGTCTTATAATGAAATGGACAATAGTTATTCCATAATTGGATATGTTTTGTAATCATTGTTGAGTGCAACAAAATACAAACAAGATGTGATATCTTAAAAACTTAAATCTAAGCAATCTTTTATAATGATCGATTAAACACGGTTATCAAGTCACTGTTAATACAATTAACATTTTGGCCAACCGTAACACACCTTGTTTTATGTCATAATTAATACCTTTATGTTTGAGAAATATGAGAACAATTTAAACATTTAAATCTAAGCTTTTTACTATAATTAAATAAATGATTCTTTGTACTTTATAATTTTCATCTATAATCCTTTTATTATTTTTTTTTTCTGTAATTTATGCAGTAATTTTTCCTGCATATTTGTGAAACCTCAATGTAAGCTACAAACTTTATTTTTGTCACAAAATGTTTAGATGAATAAATTCATAAATGTACCTACCTCCTGTATATATTACTATCAGATCAGATTTGTTTTGTAAATAAAAGTATATTATCATTCAATGTGTATTGTTTTCATTTCTTCACTATAATTTCTAAATAAATTACGGCAATATTTGTTAATAAGATTAAATATAAAAACAAACAAATATTAGGAATTGAGTCTTTTTCATTTCATAATGTAATCACTCTTAGAAACAAGAGCCAGTTGAACCAGGTGATCCTCCCTGAACAGATTTTGAACACAGAGAAACCACTTATTGTTGATATCTTGTGTAGTTTCAGAGTAATGTCCCGGACAAAGTTCAAAGTGTAAAAATAAACATAGGAAAATAACTCTTATATTAGGCAAGGCAGACTTACAATTTTTATGCAGTGCACATTTTCCAAATGAAATCTATCTACCTACAAAGTTTCTTGTTGATATCTCTTATAGTTTCAGTTTTATGTCCGGGACAAAGTTCAAAGTGTGAAAATAAACAAAGAACAATAACTCTTATATTAGGCAAGGCAGCGTTACAACTTTTATGCAGTGCACATCTTCCCAATAAGATCTATCTACCTACAAAGTTTCTTGTTGATATCTTGTATAGTTTCAGTTTTATGTCCGGGGCAAAGTTCAAAGTGTAAAAATAAACAAAGGACAATAACTCTTATATTAGGCAAAGCAGCGTTACAACTTTTATGCAGTGCACATCTTCCCAATAAGATCTATCTACCTACAAAGTTTCTTGTTGATATCTTGTCTAGTTTCAGTTTTATGTCCGGGGCAAAGTTCAAAGTGTAACAAGAATTTGTAACAGAGTTACCAACGTCCCCCGCCTCGGGAAGTTTTATATGAAGCATAAAATTATGCTATTTCAAAAGATTGAGGTATGGATCTCAGGACATTCAGTCCAAAATTACGATCAATGCTAGAACTGCAAATGCAACAATAAATTTGTTAAAAAAATAAAATGAAACACGGAAGTGTGACCTTGACCTTGGAGGTAAGGGAACAGGTGATGTGCATGACATAACGTCTTATTATTGAGACTTTTTGTGCCAAGTATTTTCAAAATCCCTTGAACTATGAAGAAGTTATAGATTGGACACAAAATATCTATGAAGAAGTAATGGACGAGACACAAAATATACCAAATAACAGACTCTGTTAACCTTTGACCTCTAAGTGTGGCCTTGACCTTGGAGGTAGGGATGCAGGTGTTGTACTTGACATATCGTCTTAATATTGTGACTGTTTGTGCCAAGATATTTTAAAATCCCTTGAACTATGAAGAAGTTCTAGATCTGACACAAAATATACCCTATAACAGACTGTGTTAATATTTGACCTCTAATTTCGACCTTGATCTTGGAGGTAGGGATGCAGGTGCTGTGCATGACACATTGTCTTGTTATAGGGATTATTTATGCCAAGTATTTTCAAACTTCTTTGATCTATGAAAAAGTTATGTACCGGACACAAAATATACACTGTAACAGACTATGTAAGTATTTGACTCCAAGTGTGACCTTGACCTTGGAGGTAGGTGACCATTTTTTGCTCATGACACATTGTTTGAATATTGTGAACAATTATGGCAAGTATTTACAAAATTCCTTCATAGATAAGAAAGTTATGGACCAGACACGACATATACCCTCAAATAGACAATGTTGACCTTGAATGAGCAAGTGTGACCTTGACCCTGGAGGTAGGGGTCTGGTTGTTGCGCATGACACATCGTCTTATTATAACAAACATTTGTGCCAAGTTATTTCAAATTCCTTTGATAAATGACAAAGTTATGGACCGGACACAAAATATACCCTGTAACAGACTATGTTAATATTTGACTCCAAGTGTGACCTTGACCTTGAAGGTAGGTGACTGGTTTTTACGCATGACACATCGTCTGATTATTGTGAACAATTATGGCAAGTATTTACAAAACCCTTCATAGATAAGAAAGTTATGGACCGGACACGACATATACCCTCAAATAGACAATGTTGACCTTGAATGAGCAAGTGCGACCTTGACCCTGGAGTTAGGGGTCTGGTTGTTGCGCATGACACATCTTCTTATTATAATAAACATTTGTGCCAAGTTATTTCAAATTCCTTTCATAAATATCAAAGTTATGGACCGGACACGAAAGTGTGACGGACTGAAGGACGGACGGACGTCCGTCCGGCCGAAATGGAATAAGGGGCCATTTTCTATTGTTTAATAGAGGGCCAATGGCCCCTTACTCTATTGTTACGGAATGAACTCTATTGTTCTCTTTTGTTCTGTTTACAGTTAGATGGCCCCCTATCCCTATTCGGTAGTGCGGACGGACGGACAGACATTCTCACAGGACAGTAATTATGTGGCTACTCTATTGTTCTCTCTATTGTTCTTTTTAGCCACACAAAAGAAAATAGCCACATAAAAGCATTACGGAATGAATGACATCAAAGAGAAAGAACAGTTACCTATTGTCCCTCTAGCCACATAATTACTCTCCTGTGAGTGCAGACGGACAGACGGACGGAGCCTATTTCTATATCCCCCTTTTTTCTTTGAAAAGACGGGGGACAAAAATAAACAAAAGACAATAACTCTTATATTAGGCAAGGCAGAGTTTCAATTTTTATGCAGTGCACATCTTCCAAAGGAGATCTATCTTACTACAAAGTTTCTTGTTGATATCTCTTATAGTTTCTGTGTTATGTCCCAGACAAAATTCAAAGTGTAAAATTGAAAAAGCCAAAAGTAGGCATGGCAGAGTTAGGGTTTTTTTAACTGCATAACTACCCACCTACAAAGTTTCTTTGATATCTCTTATAGTTTTAGAGTTATGTCCCAGACAAAGTTTAAATTGTAAAAATGAACAATGGGCAATAACTTCAAAACAAGGCAAGACAGATTTATGGTTGTTTTGCACTGCACATCTTCCCAATGAGATCTATCTATATACAAAGTTTCTTGTCGTTATCTCTTATATTTTCAGAGTTAAGTCCCAGACAAAGTTCAGTGTAAAAATAATCAAAGGGCAAAAACTCCAAAATAAGGCCTGGCAGATTTATGGTTCTTTTGCATTGCACATCTACCCAATGAGATTTATCTTACCAATAAAGTTTCTTGTTGCTATCTTTAAGACTTTTAGAGAAAGGTCCCAGACAAAGTTCAATGTGTAAAAATGAACAAAGGGCAATTACTCCAAAATAAGGCAAGACAGAGTTATGGACAGAGTAATGGTTCTTTTGCAATGCACATCTAACCAATGAGATATATCTAGCTACAAAGTTTCTTGTTGGTTAACAAAGTTCAAAGTGAGAAAATGAACAAAGGGCAATTCCTCAAAAATTAGGCAAGGCAGAGTTTAGGGGTTTTTTTGCACTGCACTTCTACTTGGCACTGTACTTCTCCTCAATAAGATCTGTCTACCGACAAAGTCTCTGGTTGACAGGCTTGTGGTTCCAGAAGTATGTCTTGGACAAGAAAAGGGGATGGACAGACGAATGGACATCCATACGGATGGATGGAAGCACAGGCTATTTAAGAAAAGTAGGGGGCCATGTAACTGTAAACAGAACAAAAGAGAACAATAAAGTTCATTCCGTAACAACAGAATAAGGAGCCATGGCCCTCTATTAAACAAAAGAAAATAACAGAAGAAATGGCCCCTTAGTCCATTTAAATGACATGTCCAGGTGCATGTAAGCAAGGACGAACATACACCGAATATTACACCAAAAGTGGCAACTAAGTTGAGCTCACTGCAAGCGGGTTCAACAATAAATAATGAAATATATGTATCCAAACGGATGGAAGCATGAACGCACGCAAGCACGGACGCACATAAAATGAACTTTACGCAAAAAATGGCAACTAAGTTGAGCTCAATGCAAATGGGTTTGACAATAAATGATGTATAACAGTGAAATATGAATATCTGGTAACATCTGGATAATGCATTGTATTCAAAATACAATAACTTCAAATCTAGAGAAAATCTTAACAGATATATATTACAGTTTTAAATTCTTACGATAATAAGTATGATTAGAGTATGATCTCCCAAAAGTCTCTCAAAACAACAAAAAAAAACAACTATAACTTGGTAGAATTCAAATTGATAGATCCCTTGCTATTGTTATAATGTCTCTATGTACATGTATTTTTCATGTTGCTTCATGTGTCTTTATTCTTTAACCTGCAGGCAGCAACCAAATCTACCCATAGCAAACAGTACAGACCAAGATCAGCAAGCAAATCCATTACATTTGATCATATTCTGCACTATTTGCTTATTCAGTCAAAATACATTCGAAATGTCCCTCAAAATGATAAATAGTTTTGTCAAAATTTAAATAAGGGCATTTAAGATATTAAGCATGGTAAGAGTTAAAGGTATACATGTATGTATTTACTGCATTATTAAGTTGGGAAGTGGTCCTTTTACTGTTGCATGGGTGGTGTTGATGGTAGTGGAGTTTGTGGAGTTACATGTAAAGCAACTTGCTTCCAGATTCACGCTTTCTTTCATGAAATTTTTCAAATGTATTAAAAAGTTAAATACTGTTTAAGTGACCAAACAAAAGTACATTTAATTTACACATTGTAAACAGTACTTAAAATCTACCAAAAATAGGTTAAAATATGCAAAAATAGCCCTTACATCTTTAGTTAAGTTGTATAAATATGGTGATTTATATTGCGAATTAGATCATTAATTGCATAGAACATGTTAATTATTTCTTAAATTGTGAATATTTTTATTTTTCTTAAAATCTTAGTACATTTTTCACAAGGAAATGAAATATTTGAAATATTTTAGCTTATCTGATGGCAAGCAGCTTAAAGTGATAATATCATTGTTTCCAGCTCTATTGTTGGAAAATTAAGACTCAATTGACCCATTTATATTTAACTGTCTTGCAGTAACAGGGATTTGAGTGTCTTCTTGGAAATCTAGCTTCTGTAAGCTGGCTATTGATAGCTTTCTCTTATTTGATAGATCACCTAGGCTTGCTTATCAAGTACTAGGAGTCTTGTGCTATTCGTTTCATTTCAAGATCCAGATGGGATTTTCTAAAAATCCTTAGATATGACCGACTGTTTGAAAAAACTAGAAATGTGTCATCATGCCACGGATGCCCCCGCATGCAGCCAAAATTTCAGATGGTGCATTAATTTTTTTTTTCATTTTAAGTTCAAAGCCCTTAAAACTTTTCAATGTTAACACAAACCATTTCCATACAATGTTCAAGGCACTGAAATTATTCAGTCTTAACCTTTTAGAAATAGCATATTGCATATTTGTAGCCAAAATAATGGCTAAAAGAATGAGTGCTGAAACTGAAAGTTCAAAATTTTTCCAACATTCAGGAAAGATAAGTTTGTCTAAAATCATTGAACCATGACCAAATTCAAACTTAAACTGCTTATTCCTAAGATGTATCTATATTATTTTCAAAGTGAAAGGGACATAACTCTGCCAAAAAATCATCAAACCATGACCAAATTCCAACTTGACCTGCCCATTCCTTTGACATATCCATATGTCAAATTAAAGTTGAATATGTAACACTGTTGGGTAGATAATGAACAGAAACTGTAAATTTCATATTATTTTCAAAGTGAAAGGGCCATTACTCTGCCAAAAATCATTGAACTATGACCAAATTCGAACTTGGCCTGGGCATTCCAAAAACATATCCATATGTCAAATTTGAGTTGAATGTGTTGTACCGTTGGGGAGATAATGAACGGAAACTGTAAATTTCATATTATTTTCAAAGTGAAAGGGCCATTACTCTGCCAAAAATCATTGAACTATGACCAAATTCGAACTTGGCCTGGGCATTCCAAAAACATATCCATATGTCAAATTTGAGTTGAATGTGTTGTACCATTGGGGAGATAATAAACGGAAACTGAAAATTTCATATTACTTTCAAAGTGAAAGGGGCATAACTCTGCCAATGGCGGGGGCATAAAAAATAGAAGTTTTAAAATATCTTGAAAACCTTTTAATTTTTTTTCTACATCAAAGGACTCCTTTATCAGTTATTTTGTACATCCATTCACAAAAGCATTAATGTTATTGTTGTTTTTTTTGTGTTTTTGAAATCGACAACATCTAAGATGAAAGAAGGCAAGATGCTTTATAATTCAAGAAAGCAGATAAATCTAACAGACAAGCTGATGTTATATAATCAATGCTATATTCTATAATCAACTTATTTGGTTGATTTCCTTCTTTCGTTTGCTGTCTGCATCACAAATTTTCGGCTCAATATATCCCCGACAAATTGATTCCTTTGAGATGCTTCTGCAAGCATTCGTTCAGGGCAATAATATAAATGTACAAATAAACATTCACTTGTCTGGAAAACTGAATAATCCCAAGATCTCATATAATTTGTCACCTTAGTGCAGTAAGGGGTTAACTTCTATTAAATTATATAAGGTGTTAACACATTACTGCACTAAGGTGATGATATATGAACCTGTAAGCTAACTGGAGCAGTCAAAAAGGTTCCTTAAACATTTATCTTATCAGAATTTGTGGAATGAATTTAGACTTACTGAAATTTGGAACAGTTTGGTATTAACCCTTAAGCTGCTGAAACCAAAAGCGATTTACATCTGCCCTCAGTATTATAGACAGATCAGCCTTCACACATGAATTGATACAATAAGATTCTTTTTAATAGCAAGAATCCAAAATCTTAAGCAGAATTTGATTTCCCCACAATGAGTTTAAAAAGGGCAATAATTCTGTCAAAATCAGTGCTAAGAGTTATGCACCTTGGAAAGAGGTCTATTATGATCTCAAATAAAGACATGAACTTCCAAGCAAACATCTTAAATGGTGGTGCTTTACAGGAAAGTAACATATAAAAACTTTAACCAAAGTGATACGCTTACCCTAACGCCCAAGTGAGTAGGATAGTATCTTCAAATAGTCGAAATAAAAAATGACCATAAATTCATTCTTAGAAACATTTTCCATATCAATAAACTTTCCTTTGTAAGACCACAGGCATTTTTTCAGGCTTTATCTCCTCTAAGACTACTGGTCCTGACTGATATGAACACAATTAAGAATTAGACACTCTAAGTGGTATTTGCACTCACAACCTGCCTTCCTACCCATCAACCTACATAGGGGCAGAATGATTCAAAGAAACTTTGACTACTCATCTACCTAGTTTAGATATGTAAAATAATACCATAAAATAACAGCATGGAATTTGTAAATATGAAATTAATATGACATTTTTTTTTCATTTTATACTTACAGAACATAAGTTATGACACCTATACTCCACATATCAGTTTGTACAGACAATGGTTCAAAACTTATAACTTCAGGTGCTGAAAAATTAAAACAAATTTGTTAAAATGGTCATATGCATTTATTTCATCATTTCTTGATTTAAACAACATACTGGTGTATGGTCTATCATCTTTTCCATCTTTTTTCCCCTTTTCTTATCATATTTTGGGTATAAAAAGACCAAGTAAGCCAGCCAACAGTATAAAGCCTGATCAGATTGCACGGAAGTTCAAGCTAGCCTGGCTCTATACTGGTAGTTAAAGCTAATCACTTCCTATTCCAGCAGGTTACAGGTTAACCTATCATTTAAAACTCCTATGTAAAGGACATCCCATTTTAATGTTATGGGTGACATGACAAGCCTATGTCACCAGTACTGTCAGACCAGTCTGCTCTGTTGGCTTCTTTATTATTGTGCTGTCTTAAATACTGAACACTCTTAAAAATTAATGACCAGGGTTCTCAATAAATTTTTCATAAGCAGCCAAAGTAAATTCCAGCAGGCCTTTTGTGTAATTCAAATAACAATTTTCTGAATAAAAGAAAGAAAACTGAATAAGTTTCAACAGGCCAAATCATGTTTTCAGCCAGCCATTTTGGACTGTGGCCTGCTGTTATCGAGAACCCTGAATGATGGTCTGTTAAAAATACTCATAAGCAGGTCAGGTCCATTATATATATATATATTTTTTTTTTTTTAGTTTTACGTTAACACCCACAATATAAAGGTGATACAGCGACCCTTCAGCTTCACTGGTGGAGAAAGAGCTCAGCTGCAACTTTGTGCATTATTTCAGCCTTTTGCCGGCACCTGAGTAGAACCACTGAGTTTCCATAAGCTAGCTGGATAGCTTAATTGCTGAAAAGTTTGATAATTCTGTACGACTGTAACTATGTAAGGTTTATATAGGAAACCTAACATTCTTCCCTCTGTGCTGAGAGTGCTAAGGCCAGTGGCAGTAGGCATCCAACCCAAAATTCTTACCACAAAACTCAGCTGTTCCCATTATTGCCCTATGATCTTCTCTCGGAAGAATTTTCCTCGAAAGTCCAAAGTCGATCAACTTTACTGCTGTACTATTCTTGTCTTGTAACAGGATATTCTCAGGCTAAAAATAGAATAATATAATATTTTTCCTATATAATTATATAAAACAGAAGCTGTCTAAAATAAGAATAAGATTTATACTAATAGTCTATACTGTCCTCTTCTTAGAATGAGATACTTAACATTTTGAAACAAAAAAACGAAAAAAAAACAATGAACTTACATTACAAATTATTGTTATCAGCTGTAACCTTAATTTTTTTACCTTATAAGTATTTTCTGCTGCATGACACAAGGGCACAACTACATATTCAACTAAAAGTACATCTAATGGGCCAGACATAGGCAATGTGTTATGGGCCAGACATAGGCAATGTGTTGGTCTTTTTTTAAAACACTATGTCATTAGATAATGTGTTTGTCTTTTTTAAAACACTGTGTCATTAGACAATGTGTTGGTCTTTTTTAAAACACTATGTCATTAGACAATGTGTTGGTCTTTTTTAAAACACTACGTCATAAGACAATATGTCAGTGTTTTTTAAAACACTATGTCATAAGACAATATGTCAGTCTTTTTTAAAACACTATGTCATTAGACAATATGTCAGTCTTTTTTAAAACACTATGTCATTAGACAATGTGTCAGTCTTTTTTAAAACACTACGTCATAAGACAATATGTCAGTCTTTTTTAAAACACTATGTCATTAGACAATGTGTCAGTCTTTTTTAAAACACTATGTCATAAGACAATATGTCAGTCTTTTTTAAAACACTATGTCATTAGATAATGTGTCGGTCCCTTTTTAAAACACTAAGTCATTAGACAATGTGTCGGTCCCTTTTTTAAACACTATGTCATTAGACAATGTGTCGGTCCTTTTTTTAAACACTATGTCATTAGACAATGTGTCGGTCCCTTTTTTAAACACTATGTCATTAGACAATGTGTCGGTCCCTTTTTTAAACACTATGTCATTAGACAATTTGTCGGTCCCTATTTTAAACACTATGTCATTAGACAATTTGTCGGTCCCTTTTTTAAACACAATGTCATTAGATAATGTGTCTTTCTTTTTTAAAACACTATGTCATTAGACAAAGTCTCAGTCTTTTTTAAAACACTATGTCATCATTAATGTTGTGATAAATAGTGTAACAAGTTTTATTTTTAAACAATTCTAAATATTATAAGCTCTTGCTAAATATAAAACTACAATCATTTCCAGACAAAACAATTGCAAAGAAGTTAATACTGTCTCTCTCAAGAAATTGCAGAAAAAACCAGGATCTAATAATAATTGTTCAAGTGTGTTGTACATTATACAAAAATGCTTTCATCCGTTTTTTCTTACCCTAAATTAGGCAACAAAAAACCAACAATTTTTGGACACCTTGCCTGCAGACAAGATAATCTTTATCAAAGTTATACGA